TCTCTCTCTCTCTCTCTCTCTCTCTCTCTCTCTCACACACACACACACACACACACACACACACACAAGAGGGTGCGCGCCCGAAAAGTCTCCTTCCGGTTAGTCAGGCACGCCCTGTCGCGATCACTTGCCGGCCGTGGCCTGGAACACCCACAGCGCCAGCAGCGCGACGCTGAGGCCGAGCGCGGGCCTCATGGAGATGGCGTCGTTGCACTCGCAACTGCACTTCATGAAGTCCATATAGCACGAGATCTTGCAGTTTTGGGTGCGGCAGCTGCTTTCACATTGGTTTTGTTTCCCCAAGCAATTGTCTTTGGCCAGACAGGTCTGAATCTGGGCGATGTTGTCCATGCTGGCGCCCTTGATTCCGTAACAGCCGCACAAGCAGTCGAGGATGCACTTGCCCTTGCACTCGTCGTCGGTGCTGGAGCATGAGCTGCAGGACGTGTACTGGCACTGGAGCAAGAGAAAAAAGGCCATCCAGCAATGAGCAAGCGAAACCACACAAATTCGACGTAATCGGCACGGAAACAGACTTTGCTGAAGTGATGAACCCTGTTCGACCTATGTCTATCGACCAGAGCTGCACTGATAAATACTGTGTGCGACAGGCGCAACTGGCACAACTGGCGCGTACATGTAAGAGTTCAACGTTCAACTTTCAACAATACGTTTATGGCACACTTTTTAGTGTTTTACTGGATATTTTAATACTAAAAAGGATTAAACAACAAAGTTGAAGAAACACTTGGTTGTGTACAATGACTCTAAGGACTGGCGAGACCACTGGACACTTGAAAGCGTTCAAATTTACTGTTGAACACTACTTTAAAGTATTCAAATTTCAAGTCCAACACCTAAGAGTGTGCGCCATAGAGTTGAAGAACCATACGCACGCCAGTTGCACATTTTTATTTTCAGTATGATTACAACGTTTTTGCATCAACTACGTGTTTTAAACGTCAGATTAATGTCCAGCTATGAAGAGCCTTCATTGACGGTCTATTTGTTCGGAAGGTTGTGACTCACGCTATTTGTGGTCACACACTTCTGCATCTTGGTAAAGTCGTCCGTGTCGGAGCGGGCCGAGCTGAGTCGCACGTTAGTGGGTGCGCCGGCCGGAAGAGATACGTTCCGGAGGGGGCCCATGACGCTCAGGGCGCTCTCGATAGGCGAGCAAGGCCCGCGGTGAAGCGCAGAGACACCTGGAAGAGAGCAGACCGGCCGAACGTTACTTGCGTCTGAGCGTCGTTTTGGAGCACTCAAACAGTATTTTGTTAAGTGGTTTTTGTGCAAACGTTCGTGCGCAGTTAAGCCTTTATGTTTCATTTTTTACGGATTCGTGCGCAAAAAGGCACGATTTCTTACACATGTGGGAACAAAGGTGTTCAAATGAACGCAGAAACTTGCTTAGAAAACCGGATTGTGAACTTTTTGCAAATGCAAGTGGTTAGTGTGTGAACAGACTCGACGCGGGTGGCTCTCTGAGGTTGGCTGGGTAGTAGACTGACCTGATAGGGAGGCGCAGTCCAGCTGGCACTGGCTGTCGTATGTGACGAAGTTGGAGCCGCACACCTTGGAGGAGGCGGGCGCGGGCGGGCACGGGCACGCGGCCAGGGCGAGCGGCAGCAGCACCAGCAGCAGCGCCGGGGCGGCCAGCATCGCGCACTGCACCATCTGGAGCAGGGTGTCGAATCAACGTAGAATACAGGGGCTTGATCTTGTGAAGGTCTCCTATCACCTTTAAACTAAAATAGAGTACAATTTAAAGTACATTGGCTTCATTTCTTTTGATCCATTAATCCTGTGGATGTACGGCTCACTCCATTGGGCCATTGCTAACGCTCTGCTTACCTTTCTGCTTGCTGCGATAAAGGAGAATGTGTTTTTCCTGCTGGCTGCGACGTACTGGACTGCGGTCTCCCAGGAGTCCCTGTGCCTTTATGTAGTGCGAACCCAGCGGGAAATGACAGCGATAGCGGTATCTCATTTTCTTTCGCTATGCCTATAAATAGCCGATAAGAATTGAAGAAGCCCTTAGGGCCTTAGTTCCTTACAAACAGCATAGTGCTCGTATTACAAAGAATTTGGTTTGTACGAAGGATCCAGAGTAGTCACAAAACGCCTGTTCTTTTCTTCATGTTACGAACGGGACTGTTTGGAGACAATAAATCTATTTTATAGCATACAAGCCATCATTATCTTTTCCTAAAAATCTTTTTCCATCCGAACCTCAGACTGGAAGATTTTGGCAGATAAGCGCATGTATTTGGGCGTCTATCTAAAATACTGGCAAAATGCCACTGCCAACATAAAAGCAGAGGAAAAATGATGTCATATTTAAAATTCAAACTGAAACAAAAGAATTTCGTTCGAATTGAATTTGTATGGAATTTTCTTAACCATTCATTCTCATACTGCAGTATATACATTTTTGAATAGTAATGTAATCCGAGTGATAGAAGAGAGGGTTATTTAGTCAAATCATTGGATGTTAGAAGAACTGCTGGTGACCGACGTGACAGCGTAGCGCCTGTGGCAGCCAGGGTAGGCCAGCCAGCGCTACACGCGAGCGCGCAGCGGGCGTGGTGGCCTGCCAACTAGGCGCTCAGCGGTCTCCACAAGCACAGCACACATGCGCGCGCACCTGGGCGGCGTCCTAACCGATACTACACGGTCCTATACTGGGGCGTAATGTGTGGTACAAGCACCGAGCACCGACAATTAATTCCTTGCCTTACCGCAATTGTTATCGTTATCGCCATATAATTCGTCACTGGTTGTCCGGCAGTGACCCACTCTCTGACCCAATCTCTGACGTCAGTGAGGGAGGAGTCACCAGGTGGATGACGGTATCACTGTGAGTATCGGTGCGGTATTTCCGTTTGGTTTCAGGTTGACGGATCATAACTTTCCATTTTACACCTGTGATTTCCTTTTAAAAAATGCCAACCATATTTAAAAAAAAGCTATCAATATAACTAATATAAAAGCTTTTTATTTCAGTTTATTTATAATATTTATTGTCCTTTTTGGAAGATTCAGAGTACAGTGAAGGCTATTGTTGTAATTAGCACCGGACTTCTGTGTGCATAACTGAGTTAGATACAAGATTATAACTTTAAATATGCATTTAGGAACTAGCTAAGAAGCTACGATAATGTATCTGAACTAAGTTATGTCACAGAAGTCCGGGCTGGATACAATAATGCCATTTACAAACACACACACACGCACACACACACACACACACACACACACACACACACACACACGCACGCACGCACGCACATGCCCGAAAAGTCTCTTGTTTCTGACGGTTAGTCCGGCGCCTTGTCGCGGTCACTTGCCGGCCGCTGCCTGGAACACCCACAGCGCCAACAGCGCGACGCTGAGGCCGAGCGCGGGCCGCAGGGAGATGGCGTCGTTGCACTCGCACGTGCACTTCATGAA